TGCGGGATTGTTTTAAGGATGAAGTTGAGAGTTAATGCAAATTCCTTAGCACAATGCCTGGCACATCGTAAGCACTCAAGAATTGGTAGTAGCATCATCATCATTGTCACTGTTCCTGTTACTGTTAACAGGTGAGGAACCAGGCCTGGCCACTGGCCAGAGTCATACAGTGAGTTAGGGATGGGGAGCGCTGCCCAGGCCCCGGGTGTTCAGACGTGGAATGCAGGCCAGAGTGGGCTTCGTCGCTGAGCAGACCTTGGCTCACATTTTGGATTTGTCATTTACCAAATTTGAGTTAGTCACTTAGCCTTTCTGAGCCTTGAGTGCTCCTTAAAATGCCTCACGAGTTGTTGGAAGGTGGAGAGATTACGGCGCAGAGCTGGGCCACTGAGAAGGCACTCCGCCAACAGCCCCTTCTGTGGTGCTGCTTTCTTCTTCCCTGCTTAATCCAGCGGGTTTCAATCTTTCACTCTTTTTTTTAAGGGAGGAGGGAGACACAGACCCCTTTGAGAATTTGTCATCTGTGGACACCCAAACTCAGAGAGTTCACAGACCTCAGGCAACATTGGGGATGAAAACTTAATCAGGCCGGGCGCGGTGGCTCACACCTGTAATCCTAGCACTCTGGGAGGCTAGGATCGTTTGAGCTCAGGAGTTCGAGACCAGCCTGAGCGAGAACGAGACCCTGTCTCTACTGAAAAAAAAAAAAAAAAAAGAAAAAAGCTGGACAACTAAAAATATATAGAAAAAATTAGCTGGGCATGGTGGCGCATGCCTGTAGTCCCAGCTACTCGGGAGGCTGAAGCAGAAGGATCGCCTGAGCCCAGGAGTTTGAGGTTGCTGTGAGCTAGGCTGATGCCACGGCACTCTAGCCCGGGCAACAGAGTGAGACTCTGTCTCAAAAAAAACACAAAACAAAACAAAAAAAACACTTTAATTAGTCCACCAAATCAGTCAGTTGCTCCTTCTTCCTCTGCCTCCCCAGTTCCCTTTTTTCTCTTTCCTGTTCTCTGTATCATTTCTAGGCTAGTTGCCTTTTGCTCACATGTTTCCTAACAACTTTGCTCCAGGGGCATTCTCAGCAAAGACCACAACCACAGCCTCAGTTTCTGGGGCTGAGGGCATGGTGTCACGTCAGTTTCCTGAGCATCAATTTCTCATCAGTAAAATGGATAGTGAAGATTAACTAAGATAACATTATTGGTGGGTAGCCTTTGCCAGGTGTTTTTACACATAATCTCATTTAATCCATTCAACGAAGCTGGGAGGTGGAGTTTTCATGCAACTCAGTCAATATTTATTGAGTGCCTACTAGGTCCCAGGCACTGTTTTAGCCACCATAATGCCTCATGGAGCTTACATAATGGAAAGAGACTATAAAAACATGCACCACTAAATAAGGCAATTCCAAGTTGTACTAAGTGCTGTAACAAAAATAAATCAAAGAGCTAAGGGAAGGCATGTAGGTTACTACCTGAGTACAATTTATATAAATACATAAAGTTTAAAAGTATCAAAATATACTTGTTATTTTTTAACTTTTATGGTAGTTTTTTTTTTATCCTAGTAAACACTATTCTCAGTAGACTGCTCTCCTGAGAGCAGAAAGCTACATTCTACCCTCTTTCCACAAAGGGCCTAAGAGGGTATTTAGGTCTGACATCCTTAAATTGTTAGTGGAAAGTTTAATCCAATTTAAAGGCATTCTGCAAAAGGTGTGGATTTTGAATCTCAGCACTATACGCTAGAGCTGGCAGTCTCCGCTTGCATTACTATTAATATATTTGAGGAGGGTGAGTGACTCCAATGTGAGAAACCCAGAAAGATGCCATCCCTAAGTAAATAACCAACTGAACATATTTGAAGGATGTGAAACAAAGATGAATGTAGTCAATTCAGAAACATGAGCCCGTGGGGAAGAGAACAGTGACTACAGCTGGGCAAAATAAAACTGCCCAGATGGAGGATTTTATATCCTGCTTTACAGTAGAACATAATATTCTCTTTACCAAGGCAATGCATTTTCCCTAATAATTGCTGCTTTTTCAAAAATACCTACTATATGCCAATTATTTAACATATTAATAAGCCTCACAAGAAATCTATGAAGTGGGAGGAAAAAATTTCAGCAAGTTTAAGTAACTGCTCAGGATCCATGGTTAGCATTGGTAAAGTTGGGCTTGGAACTCGGCTCTGACCCTGTTCTTGCACCCACCATCCAAGCAACCTCAGACGCTGCCTACTTGCTGAGATACAGTGGCAGAGCCCAGCAGGAGAGGTCCAAGGGGACACCTGCTCAAACCAGTATCCCTCAGTTAGCACACTGTCCACTCAAAGAATCTCACTCGACCATTCCATGAAAGGGTTCCCTTCTGCTACAGAGGACAGGATGGTTGATTTTTATTTTTACTTGTCTTTCAGTGTTTTAAATCACGCTTATACTAGCCAGCCTGGGATTACTCTTTTTCAAAATTAAAATACCTTTAAGTTATTTTCATGATAAAAGTAGATCGTGCTTGCTGCAAAAACTCAAAAAGTGTACAAAGCAGAAGATAAGAGCCTCCCTGCCTGGCCTTCTCCCCCAATATAGCTTTAAAAATGTCTTCTGGGCAGAATACGATAGGTCTTTTAATTACTCTCACGGGGCTCTAAAGTGCTGATAAGAGAGCTCAGGAGCCCCTCTCAGGTTTTCAGATAATACTCTGGGCTAGCTGTGAATATAATAATAATTAGTTCAGTTTTCAACAGACTTTTATTGAATGTCAGCCGTGTGCTAAATGTTGCTGATTCAAGGTGGACAAAACAGCCTCTAACCTTAGGGAACTCATTCCTGTGTTGAATACCCTTGTGTAAACCAAGGATTACAATGGTAATTCCCCAGTGAATTCATACAGAGTACCATTTTTAGAACTGGTTAAAAACTTTTTTTAAAAAAATTAGAGTATGACACATATATAATTAACTGCTCATCTGAGAAATCATATATTCAAATGTAAGAATACTTTGCAGGTAAGCCTGACTCAGGCTGACATAGATGGGGCAGGGGGTGATGCACCCTCTCCAGAAACCCCCAGCAGCATTCATTGTTTCTGTTCATTTTGGTTGTTGAGATCTCCCTGGGTAACATTTGCAAAATGTCCCATGTATCCCGAGCATGTGCCAGGTCAGTTAGTCAGCAATTCTGCTTCAAGAATCGGCCTGTATTCCATTGCACCAATGCTACATTTTCAAAATGGAAGGAATCTGAAATGTAAAAGCATTTGCTGTGCAGAGAAGGGAGACTCTAGTGCTAGGACTGGAATCCAAGTCTCCTCACATACAGTTCAATCCCTTTTCCATTATACCCGATTGAGTGTTAGGTCACCAAGTAGGTGGTCATTAATCTTGTATAGACTTTATATCCAATGCTGATTATATTGTCTATATTATGATAGGTGGCAGAGATTCAAAGTTGGACAGGTTGGTTACTGTACTTGATAAATAAAAAGCCCAGTGGCAAGACAGATAAATAGACAACTCACACCCTGAAAAAGGTCAGTCGCTTAGGTAACTTGGGGAGGGGCACCAGATGCAGGAGTGGGACATGGTGGGGAGGGCTTCTTAGCACAGTCAGCGAATGAATGTTCATTGGAAGAAACAACTTATATTTAAGGGTTTTTGTTGTATTTTGTTTTCATGTTTTTGGGGTTTGTTTGTTTGTTTTGTTTTTGTTTTTTCTTCCAGAGGTGGGACCTGGGCTCTCCTGCTTTGTGGGAGAGGTCAGGCTAGGTGCATTGTCAGTTTGCACCTGAAGATATGTTTGTTGTTTTTAAATTTTTTTTTGAGAAAGAGTCACACTCTGTCGTCTGGGCTAGAGTGCCGGGTCATCAGTCTAGCACACAGCAACCTCAAACTCTTGGGCTCAAGCAATCCTCCTGCCTCAGCCTCCCAAGTAGCTGGGACTACGGTCGCCGGCCACGGCGCCTAGCTAATTTTTCTATTTTTAGTAGAGACGGGGGTCTCACTCTTCCTCAGGCTGGTCTCACACTCCTGACCTCAAGGGATCCTCCCAACTTGGCCTCCCAGAGTGCTAGCATTACAGGCCTGAGCTGCCTCACCCTGGCCAGCAGCAGAAGATCTGATTAGGATCTACTCTGATCTAATTAAATGAGATACATGCTGGTATTCTAAGTCAATTTTCCACTGTTTAGTTGCTCTTTTTAGTAGTAATACTAGTAATTGTAAAATTTAGTGCTTCTAGGATGAGGGTCAGTGGCCTCAAGGACAGTGTCTTGGGCTGTTCTGATTTAGGCCCTCCTGCTCATGGGCAGGTCATCAGAAGAAACATCCACCCATCCACCCATCCATCTATCCATTCATTCATTCAAGAAGTATTTATTTGGTGCCTATGTGCCAGATACTGTTTGGAGGAAAACGATACACACGGGCTATCACTGCCTCACAGAACTAAGCTGTTTGACTTTTGACACATCTCTTTCTTTCTCTGGGCTTCAATTTCTCGACCTATTCAGAAATGTGCGCTCATAGTGGACCTAGATTTCTAAGATTCAGATTCCATTTTCACTTCTTCCCTGTTATGTGACCACTTGCAAGTTAATTTCATCTCCCTGAGCCTCAATTTCCTCGTCTGTAAAATGGGGATAATATAACTCGTTTCATCAGTTTGTATGGAGGCTTAAAAAGATAGTCCAACTGCTGGCGCGCAGTGCGCTCAACCTAGGGTGGCAGCTGTCGTTGGTACCCCGGCCGATTCCCCGAGCCAGGCACCAGCCAGGGACCACTGACAGGTGTTACTTAGGGCGTGGCTCGCGGCCCCGGGCGTGGGGGGGTGGGTAGGATTTATACGCCCGGGCTCTGGCGCCGTGGCCTCATTCGTCTTGGACTGCACTCTGAAAGGTCTTCCCGAGGCTTCGGCTCGGCACACCGAGGACCAGAAGCGGGTTCGGCCCGAGGGGCCCCAGGCTCCCGGCGCGCGCACCTGGGCGCGGGGCGCGAGGCGGGCGCGGTCGCGGGTGGGCGCAGGGGACCCGGCCCCCGACCTGGGGGCGGGGCCTGCGGCCGGCCGGCCCCCCTCGCCCCGCACCCCCTGTCGAGGCCCGGAAGGGGCCAGTCGCGCTTCCGTCTCCGCCGGGGATGCACGGAGGGCGGAGCTGCGGCCCGAGGACGCGACGCGAGCCCAGTTCCGGCGAGGAGGCCGGCCAGTGACAGCGATGGCGGCGGAGTCGGCGCTCCAAGTTGTGGGGAAGCTGCAGGCGCGCCTGGCCGCGAACCCGGACCCCAAGAAGGTGAGCGAGTGGGCTGCGCGGGGCGCGGCGGGCGTTGGGCGCGGCGCGGGCCCCGTAACGGTCGCGGGCCCGGGCGCGGCCGGTTCCCGAGCGACCGGGGCCACGGGGGTTCGGACCCTGAGCCAGGCCCCGCCGGGTCGCGGGGCCCGGGTCGCCAAGTGCGCGGCACTGGCCGCTGCCCACGCGGCGGGACCCCGCACGGCGGGCGTCGGGACTCGGCGGCCCGGCCCGCCTCCTCCCGGGCCCGGGACGGGGGCGCCCGCGGGCTCCGGGCGGCGGACACCGCGTGCCTGGCGGCTCCCGAGCCGCTCCCCTCGCGTCCGCGCCAGCTGTTTCCTGTCGGCGGGGCTCGCCGCGGGCGCGGGAAGGCGCCGGCCTCGCGGTAGCTCTGCCCGCCCGCGGTCCTGCGGCGCCCGGCTCCGGACGGGCTCCCGCGAGTTGGCTCTGATTTCCGAGTCCCGGGACGTTTGTCGCGAGGAGGAGGAGGTGCTGCCCGGGCTGATGGAGCCCCGGCTCGGCGTGCGGTCCTGCGATTCCCGCTTGCGTCTTCATTGCTTCTGGCTGGACGTTGGAGCCTGGGCCTTTCGCTTTCACGGCAGGATGAAGCCGCCGTCGCCTCGCTGAACTCCTGAAACTTAGGTCGGGGCTGAGAAGAAGGGGGCGGGGTAGAAGTTGCAGCTAGATCTCCTGCTGGCATTAATGGAAAAGTAAGAGCTACCATTTCTCGTCGTTCGAGTGATGGGCAACCATTTTTAATTGTACTTAACTAGTTTTTGTTGTTTGTTTCTGACACTGCACATTGAGTTTAATGCGTTCTTGTCCCTATCCATCTTTGTCATCCGGCTTCCCCATGGCCTCCGGGAGAGCATCGGGTGGCTGTTAGAATTTTTTTTAAATTGAAATACGTGGATGAAGACACTTAGGGTGTTTGACGTTGGCGGTCCGCGATCTAGCCGGGGCGCGCGGTTCCCGGAGTTGCGTGTCAGCCCCGGCGTCCTGGCGGAGGAGGAAGTAATGGAGGGAGGCATCAGCTATGGACCTCGGGGGCGGTCCTTCGCCGAGCGTGTTTACTCACCTTCTTACTGAAGCTAAACTGAACGGCTGAGTGCCACGCTCGATGTATGTGCTCAGTAGCACAAGTTGCCATTCTTCAGGTCGCTCTTCTTGAAGAGCCCCGTTCTCTTTACCTTGTTCTGGCCTGTCAGAGGGGACGCTTCTCGCTTTCCAAAGGCTACACGCAGCCTCTCACCATCCAGCCACTTTCCAACTCTCCTCACTCATTCCTAGCTCCAAGATCCACTTCTTCAGGAAGCCATTTTAGTTCTAAATCTGTGAACACTTAAATACTTTAAATTGTACTGTTTTCTATTGAGCCTGCAGTACCTAATAGCCAGGCATATTTACAAGTTTCTTTTTACAATAACCCTTTGTGGACATCCAGTAAATGGGTGATTATGTCTGAGTACTAGTTTGTACTAGTTTGTTTTCCTAAACACTGTAAGATTTGTGACTGCCTTTTAAAATCTTAAAGCAAGGTTATATAACCACCACCACCCCGCTTGGGTCTTTATTTCTAGCAGATAAAAAAAGTTGTCTGTAGTATCCATAGCTATTTCTCCACTAGAATTCAAATTTTGAAGTAGCTCTGTGCATGAAATATCAAATCGGGAAAAGGCTCATTTTGCTTCTCAACCTACTTGAACAGTTAGTGATACTTTGAGCATTTGGGCTTTCTCTTCCCAGATAGAAAATCGCCCTGAACGTCTGGCTTTGCATTGTGAAGTGAGCATTATGAAGATGAGAAAGTGTTGAGAGATCGTTTTTGTTGAGAGATCGTTTTTGTTGAGAGATCATTTTTGCAGAGGGCATAAGAGTTGGCATTCAGAAATGAGTTAACTGCAGAGAGAAAATTGCAAGCTGGCACACTGGCCTTGCTCCTCTCAACCTTCTGTTAACCCAACAAGCTCCCACAGGTTGTTTGTGAAATTGCAAGATGATTATATAGCAGTATTGAATTTGCAACCATTTCTTGCTTTCAAACCATTATTAGCCAAAGGGGTGATTCCACACCTATGTTCATGGATCTTCTGGTATTAAACGTGCTGCAACTCTGTTTTCACCTTTGAGTTCCTCTGTGATCTAGGCTTACTTGGGGGAGAAGGTATCAGGCAGACCAGGGCCATTTGGTTTCTGTTTTCATGTTTCCGATTTTCATGGCTGATAACAGTTACCTGTCCTGTGTTACATTTTGACTGTGAAAACTACCAAGAACACAGTTTGATGGCAGGGAGAGAACTAGGTAGTCAACATTAAGAACATTTTTGCTCTTTGCAAAAGCAGTGTGCAAGGGACGACTGAGATTCCTAAGCATGTACTGTGCAAATGTTTGATACTTCTCAACTGTCTGTTATCAGTTATTGCAAGCTCTACAGTTGGTACCCTGCTTTGATAACAGCAAATTTTCATCCACCTAAGAATGTCCAATGTGCTTTTGCCTTGTTATTCTTTGTTCTTTCTTGAAATTTACTGAAAATAGAGGCATCGTGAAACCCCTTTTCTCATGTTGGGCTAAATTGTTTGAAAATCTTGAAAGTTTTAGTTTTGTCTGCTTTTAAGTCACCCCTACTAACCCAAAGAGAAACAGAAAGGCAGCGTTTACTCTTCCAGTTAGTGCCAGGCTTTGAGATAAATACACCCACAGTGACTTCTAGCCTGATCCTTATATATTGGCTTTGTAGAGGTCCTGGGACTCTGTCCCCCTGGTGACTTCCTTTACTATGTGGACTCTAAACTGTCTAACACCATAATACTGAGGAGGAGCTCTTCTGATTGATTCCGAGTATGCCAAGAGGTATAGGAGTTACTGCTCTATTTTCTTTTCCTAAGGACAGTGTTATTATGTTGGATGCTTCTCCTGGATTTGTAGTCCATGCCGTGGTAGACACATTTGATTTATTAGGTCATTAGGCAAGTTACCTAATCTCACTGGGCTCAGTTTTAATATCTGTAAAATGGGGAGAATTATATTCACATTATAGAGTTGGTTGGTGGGGATGAAATGAGGTAACACATGTGTGTGCTTAGCATAGCAACTGACATGCAGTAAATGGTATATAAATGTTTCCAACCTACCCCTTCCAGGGAATGGCATTGTGGGAGAAGCACTTTTTAACCTTTTTGGTGATTTTTAAATTTTCCTTTAAGAAAATGAATTGGCAGTAATCTTTGCACCTATAGTTTGGATGACAAGAAACACAAAATTTTTTCTGAGTCAGATATAGTGGTGATCGAATTTGAAGTGGAAGATAATTTTCACTCAACTATGACAATGAAACTCCCTAGATACATCAGTTGGCCTCTTACTTGTTCCCAGGCAAACAAGATTATCACTTGTGATCCAATTGCTCTGCCTAGTGACCATGTTAAGCAATGATTGAAGTAGAATGACCAGAAAAACATACTTGTTACTCCACCTAATAGCAATATGGCATACTAATTATAGCCTGGGCCACGCATGAAAAAGAACCGATCTTGTTATCTAATATTTAAATGCAAAGGTAGCCCAAGTTATCTATTTTTAATTACTTGTACTTTGCGGCACTCCTTGTATGGTAAGTATGTTTCTATACACATAAACATTTCCTAGAGAAAGGCGTGGGCAATCATGACTTTTGGTAGAAATAGAGCAAGTAGGGATTGGCTAAAGACTATCTGGCTGAAGATCAAGGGTAGAATATTTAAAGAGCTGTCAGTTGATGAATGAAATGATTAATAATCATTTATCGAGCTTTCAGACTATTCCAGGCACTATGACTAAGGACCGCTCATGGTTCGTCTCAGTGAGTTCTCACAGTTTGTGAAGTAGAGACAGGATCCAGTTCCTGAAGTTGGGAGAGGTTTCTGACTTGTACAAGATCACCTGGCAAGGAGGTGGCAGAGCTAGAGTGCGAAGCCTGTCTCTGACTCTGGATCTCCAGCTTAACAGCCCTGCTCTGCTGATTTTGACCTAGTTTTAGGGGCTATAGAAAGGAAATGTGGCCAAACCCAGATGGCTTTTTTTAATCTACCTAGGCATTTTGTGTTCACCGTTAACAGCAAAGCTCTGATTCTAGCAACTTGAAATTGCTCTTGGCTTCCCACTTATGCATCAAAAAACCAATTCAACACTGTGGACCTCTGGAAACATAGCGCTCTTTCCCTGCAGAGGCCTCTTCTCTCTTTACTTTCCTCTGTGCCAGGTCCATGGGGAATTTTCCTAAAATTGGCATCCTTCTCATAAATTCTGTCAACACTGGGACAAAGTGATAGTTGTTGATGACTTTTATCTGAGTTAGTAGGTTTTGATCCTCTTCTCTATGTCTTACTTCCCCTTGGTGTGGCCTAGAGTTTGAAAGCAGGAAATGTAAAGCCATGGGCCTGAGTGAATCCTGCCCTGCTTGCATCCTGGGGAGAGTAAAATAACTTTTCTGAGCCTATTATCACACTTGTAAAATAGGGATAATACTTATTACCGTAAAATGCTTAGCACTGAGTAAGCACTTAATCGTCAGATACTATTCTTATTCTAGTGGATATGATTATGACTATTGGAATTAATGTTTGTTTTATTCTCTCTGCAGCTATTGAAATATTTGAAGAAACTCTCCACCTTGCCTATTACAGTAGACATTCTTGCGGTAAGAGTTGTGTAACTTTGTATCCCATCCCCTTCCCACCAGAGAGAGTGTAGAGGTAAGGTTAAGAGCATGGGCTTTGGAGTGAAAGAAACCAGACACAAAAGGCTACGTGAAATGTCCAGAATAGGCAAATCCATAGGCAGAAAGTAGATTAGTGGTTGCCGGGGGCTGGGGGATTGGGAGGAACAGGATTTCTTTTTAGAGTGATAGAAATGTTCTGGAATTAGATAGCGGTAATGGTTGCACAATATTGTGAGTGTTCTGGAATCCATTGAATTATACACTTTAGTTAAAATGGTGACTTGTTATGTGACTTTTATTTCAAAAAATTTAAAATAATTAACATTAACTTTGGCATCAGCTTGTCCTGGATTCAAATCCCAGTTCTGTGACTTTCGGCTGTTCCTATGTAAAATGGGGCTGATTCCTGCCTCACAGAGTTACTACAAAGACTGATTCAGATACTCTTAATAGTACCTAACATCTGCCACAATCTTGTTGTTACTGTTAAAGTTCTAAAAGTGGTTTTCCTGTTCTGAATTTGGCGTGCTTTGCTACTATGTGTCATTAGAGATTTGGGGCATAGGCACAAAGTAATTTAGTATCGAGACTTGTATGTTTTAGGAAGGAAGTATTGCTTGTTGAGTTTCTCAAAGCAGAAGGCCTTATTTCTATAGAAAAATGTCAGCCTGGTTCCATAACCCTTTAACAATTTCTTCGTCAAATTTGTAGGAGACTGGGGTTGGGAAAACAGTAAATAGTTTGCGGAAACACGAGCATGTGGGAAACTTTGCCAGAGACCTAGTGGCTCAGTGGAAGAAGCTGGTTCCAGTGGAACGGTAAGAACCCTTGTTCTTTAGATTTGTTCAACTTCATGGTTAAATCTAGCACTCAAAGTGTTTACAGATTGAAAACTTTATTATTCCTTTTCTGCCTTCTTATTTAAACTCTTTTGTTCAGGATGCCTTTGGTATAGAGGGAAAAAAAAACAACTCTTTTGCCTCAATTATAAAAATAATCCATGATCATCGTAGAATATTAGAAAATATTAAAAAATAGAAATCCAAATCTCTTATTTCTATCATCTAAAGGTAAACATTATTAACAATTTGGTATGTTTCTTTCTAACCTCTTCCTAAAAAGCATTTTTATATAGTTGTGAACTAGATAAAATAATTGGCAGCCCTTTTTTATGTAACAAGTTAAACATGTCCCTGTGTTTAAAAACATCTTCAAATTTTCATGTCTGTAAGAAATTTGATCTTCCTTGTCTGTTGCAGTGAAACTTGTCATTTCCCATTTGTGTTTTCCCAGTTTTAAAACTTGAGTATCTTCCTTTGTGACTAGAAAAGGAAGAAAAAATAAATTAAAAAACAATTAAAAATTAAAAAACTTGAGTATCTTTAAGCATAACCCTTCTTACAGCACAGGTGTTTTTTTTAAAAAAAGCATAACCCACTTACCTTCTTCCCAAGACCTTGTTGTTTCTAACTCTGAATCTTTTTTTTTTTTTTTTTTGAGACACAGTCTTACTCTGTCACCCTGGGTAGAGCACAGTGGCATTAGCCTAGCTCACAGCAACCTCCAAGTCTTGAGCTCAGGCGATCCTCCTGCCTAAGCCTCCCAAGTAGCTGGGATTACAGACCTGCACCATGGTGCCCGGTGAATTTTTCTATTTTTAGTAGAGATGGGGTCTCACTCTTGCTCAGGCTGGTCTTGAACTCCTGAGCTCAAGCAATCCTCCCACCTCAGCCTCCCAAAATGTCAGCATTATAGGCGTGAGCCACCGTGCCCGGCCCTAACTCTGCGTCTTCTTCATCTCTTTTGTGAATGCAGGTTTATGACTTGTCCTCTGAATAAGGATTACACTGAGATTTGTATCTGCTTTATCTTTTTCTTTCATTTTAGAAACACTGAGCCTGATGAACAAGACTTCGAGAAGAACAGTTCCCGAAAGCGCCCGCGGGATGCTCTTCAGAAGGAGGAAGAGATGGAGGTGGACTACCAAGAGAACTGGAAAGCCTCTGGTAGCCGATCCTATAGCCCCAGCCCTGAGCACAGACAGAAAAAACACAGAAAAATCTCAGAGCTCGAGAGACCTCACAAGGTGTCTCACAGTCATGAGAGGAGAGAGGAGCGAAAGAGGTGTCACAGGGTGTCACCAGCTTATTCCTCAGACCATGAATCTTCTGATTATGGCCACGTTCAGTCCCCTCCATCTCATACCAGTCCTCGTCAGATGTACGTGGACCATTACAGGTTCCCAGAGGAGGATCATGAGCCCATTGTTTCGCACCAGAAGCCTGGAAAAGGCCACAGTAATGCCTTTCAGGACAGACTGGGAGTCAGTCAAGAACGACACCTGGGCGAACCCCAGGGGAAAGGGGTTATGAATCAAAACAAGGAGCACAAATCTTCCCACAAGGAAAAACGCCCCATGGATGCCAAGGGTGATGAGAAGTCTTCTGCTTTGAGCAGAGAGAAATCACACAAGGCCCTCTCCAAAGAGGAAAACCGCAGGCCGCCCTCAGGGGATAGCACAAAGGAGAAACTGCCCTCAGGTGGTGTGAAGAAAGAGAAGGAAAGGGAGGGCAAGAAGAAGCTTTTGCCCCCTTTGGAGACTGCTTCAGACAACCACCTTAAAAAGCCAAAGCACAGAGACTCGGAGAAAACCAAATCAGACAAAAACAAGCAAAGTCTGGACAGCTTAGACATAGGAAAAGGAGACCTGTTGCCCAAGGTAAAAGAGAAGGTTTCGAACAACCTAAAGACTCAAGAAGGGAAAGTAAAAACTTCCAATTTGGATAGAAAGTCACTGGGCTCCTTCCCCAAAGGTGAGGATGCAGATATGGAGGATGAGTTCGAGCAGCCCACCATGTCTTTTGAATCCTACCTCAGCTATGACCAGCCCCGAAAGAAAAAGAAAAAGGTTGTGAAAACTTCAGCCACGGCACTTGGAGCAAAAGGACTTAAAAAAAGTGATTCTAAAAGCACTAGTAAAAACTTGGACTCAGTTCAGAAATTACCTAAGGTGAACGAGAACAAGTCAGAGAAGCTGCAGCCAGCTGGAGCCGATTCAGCCAAGCTGAAAAAGGTAACCCCTTCAGCCCCTGGCGACTTCCTGGATCCTCCCTGCCACTCAACAGGGAGGCTTGCTTTTACATGGCCTGTCGAATTTCAGGTTGTAGTAATTTCCTCTGGGCCTTGCTAGCTGTCAGGGTAGATGGTACCCCAGATAAGAATTTTCTGGGCTGAGTGTGGTGGCTCACACCTGTAATCCCAGCACTTTGGGAGGCCAAGATGGGAAGATCGCTCAAGGCCAGGAGTTTGAGACCAGCCTGGGCAACATAGCGATACCCCATCTGTAAAAAAAAAAAAAAAAAAAAAACACTAGCCATGTGTGATGGCATGCCTATAGTCCCAGCTACTCAGAAGGCTGAGGCACGAGGATCACTTGAACCCGGGAGTTCTAGGTTACAGTGAGCTAGGATCATACCACTGCACTCCAGCCTGGGAGACAGAGTGAGACCCTGTCTCCAAAAAAAAAAAGAAAAACAAAAAAACACTTTCCGAGGTATCCTGTTGTGATGGGCCCATCTGTCAGACATGACTGTGTCCCCCTCCAGCCTGGATCTGCTGGGAAGTGTGCCTGGGTAACACTCCTAGGAATTAACTGTAGGAAGGAAAGCTATGCTCCTACTCACTGGCTCTCCATTCACGAGCCTGTCCTCTGCAGGTCCCTGATGTGTTGCCAGTGTTGCCAGACCTCCCGCTACCCATGATACAGGCCAATTACCGTCCACTGCCTTCCCTTGAGTTGATGTCCTCCTTCCAACCAAAGCGAAAAGGTAATTTTCTTTTTTTAAATAGGAAAAAGATATAAAAATTCATTCATGATCTATCACATACTATTATATTTTTGGTACATTTCTAAGAGCACAGGCCCTGGAGTTTGATGGCTTGGGTTTGAATCCTGACTCTGGTTTCTATAAGTTACATGACCCTTGGTAATATCTTAATTTCTTTGAACCTCAGTTTCATATTCTGTAAATGGGAGTAGTAATGGTATCTGCCTTATAGTGTTCAGTTTAGTGGATTCAAAAGCAATAATGCAGCCAGGCGTGGTGGCTCACGCCTGTAATCTTAGCACTCTGGGAGCCCCAGACAGGAGGATTGCTGGAGGCCAGGATTTCGAGACCAGCCTGAGCAAGAGTGAGACTCCATCTCTACAAAAAAATAGAAAAATTAGCTGGGCATGGTGGCTCATGTCTGTAGTCCCAGGTACTGGGGAGGCTGAGGCAGGAAGATGGCTTGAGCCCAGGAGTTTGAGGTTGCAGTGAGCTGTGATGATGCCACTGCACTCCAGCCTGGGTGACAGAGTGAGAACCTGTCTCAAAAAAAAAAAGTGATAATGATGCCACTAAAGCTTTTAGCTCTGGGTTTTTCACATAGTAATTGTTCAATATATCTTAGCTGCTGCTATTAGCAGCCCTTTAATTCCATAAGTGTTAAATATCACATTCATCTTAAAGAAAAAATGTCTAATTTCAATATAATGGCAAAAGAATTAGAAGCCACATAAATGTCCATCAGCAGGAGACTAAGAGATAAATCATGGGTCATCCACACAGCAGCATCCTGTGCCACTAAAAAATGTGGAAATTCTTTTTTTAATTAATTTACTTTTCACTTTAAAAAATTTTTAAAATAGAATTTGGGGATACAAGTTGGAAAGTCTTTATGTATGGACACGGAACAATCTCTGAAATGTGATAAATAAAAATAGTGCTGTGTATAGTATGTTATTAATTGGTTAAAGGAATAAGGTACATATTTGCTTATTTTTAAATAAAGTCTCTGGGAGGATCCACAGGACACTGGTAGCATGGGTCGCCTTTGAAAGAAGTGGAAGGCTGAGGACAGGGGTGGAAGGAGAGTTTTTACTGCATCACTTAGAGCCTCCTGTAACTTCCTTTTGGGTTTTTCTTGCCCTGTAGCATTCTCTTCACCCCTGGAAGAAGAAGAAGCTGGATTCACTGGACGCAGAATGAATTCCAAAATGCAGGTGTATTCTGGTTCCAAGTGTGCCTATCTCCCCAAAATGATGACCTTGCACCAGCAGTGCATCCGGGTACTTAAAAACAACATCGATTGTAAGTTGCATGCTTCTCTCTAGCTCTCAAGCGCATCGTAGCACTGAGACCTTATCACTGGGTGGTTTGGCCGCTATTCAACGCTTTCACCTTTGATTTCTCTGCAGCAATCTTTGAAGTGGGAGGAGTCCCATATTCTGTTCTTGAACCTGTTTTGGAGAGGTGTACACCTCATCAGCTATATCGAATAGAAGAATACAATCATGTGAGCATCCTGTTTGGGTGGGAAGAGGGCAGTTTTCTGGCTGTGTCTCCAGAAATAGCTTTATCCCGGTGACTCTGCAGTGGTTGAAGGACAGAGCATTGTTCTGGGCATGTTTGGTTGCCTCTGGGCCTTTAAAGAAGCATATTATTAGCACCTGCTCCTGGCATCTTAAGTGGGCTTCCTGGGCTAGAATCAGGGTGGCATTCAAATTGGGGTGAGGGGTACTTCCAACACCTGCCTTGAGCCTAGTCATAAAGGGCAAGGGAGAATTCTGGCAGCGGAGCACCTGGGATCAGGGCAGGGACAGTGCCTTGTGTTGACACTCAGGTGGCTGGTAAATACAAAAGCAGTCTGGCCGTGTGTCTCAGTATCTCCTAGAGACATGAGATCTATCCAGAAATCCCTCTTGTGGTGTGGATACACCCATTTGATCACATTAGAGAGAGAATTAGCTGTCTCTCTCTCATTCTGAGAGCTCTATGGCCCAACATCCTTCTCAGATGGCCCCCTTGCCACCACAGTTCAGTGTCACGCTGGGAAGTACCTGACTCATCTTCATCCCAGCTCTACCGTCTGCTGATTTTTCTAAAGGAACAGACTAATCTTAAGCTAATTTTTGTGTTATCTTCTGTTCCGATCACCTGAAGGCAAATAACATAGTGCCTCACACTTAACATTTTTTAAATTTAGTGATTTGGTTTTTTGTAGAATTGTGGTATTTTAATATAATGCCACTATGAAGACCAAAAAATCATTAGGAAAGTGTTTATTCCTAGTTGATTAGAGAATGGAGAAAAGATATATAAGAGCGCATGTATATAAGTGGTGTCCTGGTTCTCATTTCAGGTATTAATTGAAGAAACAGATCAATTATGGAAAATTCACTGTCACCGAGACTTTAAGGAAGAAAGACCAGAAGAGTATGAGTCCTGGCGGGAAATGTACCTGCGGCTTCAGGATGCCCGAGAGCAGCGGCTACGAGTGCTAACAAAGAACATCCAATCCGCACATGCCAATAAGCCCAAAGGTAAAGGAGAGGGGGTGGCCAGGGAAGAACTGGCAGGATGGGTGCTCTGGTCTGCACAGGGTCTTGGTGGGCCCTGCTGATGCAGGATTTGCTGGCACCTAAATCTCTTGCATTTGCAGTAGGCGGGCAGGTGGGTGTTTCTTGTGCCACAGCCCATGCTACTCAACAGTGGGGTTTTGGGGCACTTGAAAATCCTGTAGATTAGGAATTCTGCCTCCAAACTGTCTTCTGACTCGAGGCTGCAACATCAGCTTTTTCCTGGGTTTCCAGCCTGCCATGCAGATTTTGGACTTGTTAGCCCCCATAATTTCGTGAGCCAATTCCTTAAAATAAATCTCTCTTTCTAAGAAAAAATCCTATAGGTTATTTAAATAACAGAAGCATCTTTTATTTAAGCTCAAGAAGGCAGATGTTTACTCTCCATATTTCTCCATAGGCCGACAAGCAAAGATGGCCTTTGTCAACTCTGTGGCCAAGCCGCCTCGTGACGTCCGGAGAAGGCAGGAGAAGTTTGGAACAGGAGGAGCAGTTGTCCCGGAGAGAGTCAAGTAAGATCTCTGCTCCTGCTTGGTTTTTGCCGGCTCAGGGAAGAGAGCCCCAGGAGCTTGTCATCAACTTCAACAGGTTGCCATAGGGCCAGGAAGGGACTCATTTTGGGGGGCAAAAGTAAGGTAGTGTGGAGTGTGGGTTCTGGAGGCCGACCTTGACCAGCTCAGCACTTTACCTCCCTGAGCCTCAGTTTCCTGGACTGCAGTGTGAGCCACATAATTATTGGTGCCTCTCAGGGAGTCAAGAGTAAATGGATAGCACCCTGGGAGGCCGAGGCGGGCGGATTGTTTGAGCTCAGGAGTTTGAAACCAGCCTGAGCAAGAGTGAGACCCCGTCTCTACTAAAAATAGAAAGA